TCAGGAAGTAGGCGGTTTTCAACCTACAACAAAAATAAATTCTCCATAGTTTAATGTAATCCATAACTAATCACGATAAAAACGCTTTGTTCATTTGTATATCTTTCATCGATATAATATATATATATATATATATATATATATATATATAACTATATATGTATATATATGTGTGTGTGTATTTTTTTTTTCAAAATTTGTGTATATATATATATATACATATATATGTGTGTGTGTGTGTTTGTGTGTGTGTGTGTATTTTTACACATACTTACACATATTTGTATGTGTAAGTATTTGTAGTATAAGTATAGTATAAGAAAGAAAAGATATATAAATATAATATGTGTGCATAACGCGTAACAAAAACAAAATGTATTTGCGAGCATTTTCATTATTAGATTGACCCGTCAATTCGCGGACAATATCATCACTATAATCACCATCATCGTCATCCGTATCATCATCAGTATCATTATAATCTTCAATATCATTATCAGTAATAATCTCATCATCATCAACATCATCGTTATTATCATCCTCATTATATTATCGTTATCTTTACCGTCATCTGCACTGTCGCTACCATCATCATCATCATCGTTATCAGTATTACATCATCGTCGTCTTCATCTTCAGCTGACATTTAAAAAAGCTGTCCTTGCGACATCAGTTGAGCTTATTTAACGCTTGAAAAGAACTGAAAAAATTTTATGACAAATTTTTATAAACTGGCGTGTGCTAGTTTGTGTGTGCGTGCCTGGTTCAACGCCCTTACAAAAATATAACACACAATTTATTACAGATTTGTTTAATAATATTCGTATCTTAATCGGTACCTCATTTAGTTTACCTGTAACCTGTCTGAAACAACATCAACGAAGCAATAGTGAACAATCTATCTATCCATAGAATATTACGAGAAAAATCCATTTGAGTTAATTCAGAAATTATGTTTAGACATTTAAGTAGAGCAGATAAAACCTACAAACTTGAACAACCCTTATAACAATTGCAACAGGCACGGTAACAATTGTAACCGATTTATAACAACTCTTATGACAACAATTGTAGTAACCATTTCAATTGCATCTGTATCTGTACTACACACAGCCTATGGTTAATTACATAAAAATGAGCCCACCCGCCGACCGAACGATCAACATCAAATGAAGAACCTTAATTATAATTTTATTATTTTGTTGCTTCAAAGATTTCAAACAGCGCTATCAGTTTCAGTTTTATTTATTATTGATAATTATTAATATTTATTTCATCAATAAACATTTTCTTGCAATTGAATTTTCTCCTACACACGTTAGTAATTTAAAAAATTCCTCTCAGGTAGAAATAACGAAACAGTTTCGTTTCGATTTCAATTCGATTCCATCGTAATAAAAAGTAATAACGGTTTAGTTATTGTAGGAGAGACGTAATGAATAAGAAGGACGATCGTGTATGTAGTGGTGTTGATTCTAGAAGAGCAGCGCCAGTGTTGATGGCCACCTAATTGGAAGAAGGCTTCATGCAATTAGGTGGCCGTGCATTCGAAAGCTGCTGCCGTTATTAGATTATTACCAGCTTCATTGTCCTTCATGCCGTTAACTACAATTACCAAACAAGGATATCTTCATCGTCGTCGTTTTCGTCTTCATCATTATCTTTTTCTCATTGTCACCTGTACCATCATCATTTTTAATTGTTCATCATCATCATATTATTATTGTTATTATTATCATCATTATTATTATTGTTATTATTACCACACACGATATTGTGGCATCCGATACTGCAGCGTAATTCAGCCTAATTGATACTATTGAAGAGTAATTTCCACGTAGAGTTGACGCCAAGTAAGTAATCAAATGGAGTTAGCAGGGATAATTTGTGGCCTGGAAAAGTGCGAGATAGGGGTAAAATATGAGATTCGTCCCGGGTGTTAGATGCAAAATGTTTCTCTCCTTGTCCTTAGGAACGTGTTTTAACCAAATCCATGAAAAATTGGTTGTAAAAACAAGTCCGAACTTCCCACCGTAACGGACCTCCGACTCAACTCGATTCAGGTGAGACGTGGGCGTTCTGCGGCAGAGCTCAACCCACCCATTAACTGCTTGCCAAAAATGAAGACGATGCCTGATGGGAGACATATTTATTTCAGCTGCGGCTCTTTCCGAATTATTAAAATTGTGCTAAAAAATTTTTCAAAAATGTATTTATATATATTATATGCAGCACATATAAATGTATATACATATTTAGTAACCATGCGACGTCAACAGAAATGAAATTAAGCTCAAAACAAGTTAGACAGAGAAAATGCATTAAAAAGCAACAGAATGACCCCACAGACAAGCATGTACGTACAGTACAAACAAACAAACCAAACAACACATAATATTGCCTCAACAGTTATGAAACATGAAGCACTAACGACAATAACATTACCAACCATAACAACAACATCAACAACAACATCAGCAGCAGCAACATTGACGTCATTAGCAGCCTTCTTCTTTGCGATGGCGACATCTGTTTTTCAAAATCGATTAACAACATGTATAATAATAATATGATAACAATAATTGCGCCACGATGCATACGTGCGTTTGCTTTCAAGTATTATGCGGTGCATCTGCATATGAATGTTATCATGAACATAACTCCTATGCAATGATAAATATTAAACAGTAACACATGTACGCGCATACACAAATGTCTGTGTTCAAGTAAGTGCTACTAATTTTAACTTCCTTTTAACACAAAGAGGAATATTTACGATAGTTCAAATAAAACTTTATCTTTATCTTCATCATTATGTCAAATTATTAAATAAAATCATTCTTTAAATCCAGGTAATTTAATTTATTGAACAATTGATTAGCAGCTACTAAAATTTAGCAAAACATAGCCTATACTATAAAATCATTTACCTGAATTAATTGAAGTCATCTGTTGAACAATTTCTGACAAACGATGTTTTGTTATTTCAAAATTAATAGCGGTTTCGAAAAAAAAACTATTCAAACGTTCCTGAATTTTATTTTGAATAAAAAGTTAAAAATGCAGGCTATAAATAAATGAACGAAAGAATTGAAGCAGGCAAGAAGCAAGCTCCATTCATCATTGTCAACGGTGGACATCTCGTACACTTGAGATCTTCCATTTTTAATTTTATCTCTCTTCCATACATCACACAAATATGTTTTCTGTAATGTTTAAATGTAAATGTAAACTTTTATCTGCGTATATGTACGTATAAATACGTATGAATTTTATAAGGTGGTATATGTGTATGTGTGTATGGGCGTCTCTATGTATAGATATGTGTGTGTGTGTGTGTGTGTGTGTGTGTGTGTGTGTGTGTGTGTGTGTGTGTGTGTGTGTGTGTGTGTGTGTGTGTGCAATGGCTGATCGTATTAAGATTGTTTTTAAACTTAACTACAATCTACCAGTTCTTTACTTTTTTTAAACTTTATTTGATAGTCAAATAATTATTTTTGTTTGTTATTTTTTAAAATATATAATGAAGACAGACTCAGAAAGCAAGACATACATAACAAAAAAAAGGAAAAATTATACCAAAATATAAATTACGGAAAATGCACATAAAGAAAATATGTTACACACAAAAATATTTAAAAAATGATATTGTATGAATAAAAAGTAATTAATCAAAATAGAAAATGAATGGAAAAATAATGAAATTATAAAAAATGAATAAGAGAAATCAACAAAATTCGGAAATTCTAAAATGTGGATGGAGCCCATATAGATTTCTTTACGACCAACGGACAGTTGTATATGTAGAAGAAGCAACAAACTCAAATTATTCAGTAATTGATGCATTGTTCGTCATCTCCTGGGAATGATGCTGTCAAATAAATGTTTGGGATTCATTCATCTGATGCGTTTGTATG